GCTGTTTACAGTGAATTCTGCATGGTCAGTGGAACCTCTCAGGATTTCTTGTCCTTCCTCATTCATTTTCACTGCACACAAATCTCGCCAGGTAGCTCAGCAGAACCAGTACCATGAAAGTGTTCCTCTTCCTCCTCCTTGTCCAGATCTCCATCATCTTTCAAAAGGATTCCCCTATGGCAGCATTTCCCAAACTACGTTCCATGCAACACTGGTGTTTCGTTTGAGATTGAAAGGTGCTCCGTGAGAAAATAATGATTTTAAATTTTAATAAAAGATGCCATATCTATTACACATAATATCTTAGTCTAGAGGTTTGTACTTGAAATATATTTGCATAAAAATGTAAAAAATTCGTTAATATGTAATTTGATTAAATAAATAAATGAATAATATACAAATCTAGAGGGCTGCATGCACAACATACCCTCTACATTGATATTTCATGTGTCTAGTGTAGTGTTCCATAAGCTAAAAAAGTTTGGGAACACTGCTCTAGGAGATAAGGTATCTGTATAAACTCTTTGGAAATTTCAGGTTGATGGTCACCAGATCTCTTTATAGTTTGTCAAACTTTGGGTCATTTTTTTGCAGTTGTGCATGTACAATTAGTTATGATCCATAAGGACAACTCAAATGTGGTTTCCTATATCCATCACCAGAGGGTACTCAAGTTTCCACAACCTTATCTGCTTTTTCTGGGCCCATTCTCTACAAGTCTAACTGGTGGCTTGTCACTTTCCAGGTGCCCTGAATCTTGTCACAGATTGTCTCTTGGGGTCCAACAAGATTCTTTCCATGGAGTTGTCCCTCAATCTTCAGGTTCTCCAGTGGCTTTGCTCTTGTTTGGGCACCCTCCTCATTGTTGTCTTTGCTACTAACCAAAATGTTAATAAAATGTGGTAAAATAATTATTAACAGTAAAGAGACCTAGGAAACATTCATAATTATGGCTTGTTCTCTGGAAAGTCCCAGTATGGGCATTCTTCAAGCTGTATGGATTTACATTAAAAGTGGTGATGTCAAAAGACAAGTAAACACCTTGGCTGAATTGGAGAGAGTAATGCAAGACATTTGCAGCAATATTACACAATTGTACATTGATAATTTTCATTTCAGCATGAAAACAAAATGTAATGCTTTGTGTAGAGCAGAAAGCTCACATACAAGAGCATTGTACATCATATTCACTTTTCATGTGTATTTTCTTGGTATTATTCTGCACCATTAATAAATTCATCATCTAGTTCCCATTGCATGTTGTTTGTGACTCGTGCAAGTGTATCACTTGGGTGTTTCCATACTTATTTCCATTACTTTATATCACTTATAAGGCTATAACATATATTTACTCTAGTTAAACAGAACATTAACCCTTAGAACTTGCATTTTGAAAACCAGCAGTATCACATATAACAGCTATATGAAATATACTTATACAAAATCACACTCACCCAGAAAACTTTATGGAAATATTAATAACCTCTAAATGAAAATGATTAGATATTGCCTTTTTCTGAGTATCCACATCCAGTCTTTGTATTAAAAATATACTCTAGTTAGAAATATTGAAATGACATTAAACTAATTTCTCTCTTAGACCAAGAAAAAGTGGAGAAAATTTGTTTAGCTTATTAAATAATTAAGTTAATTCTATGGCTGAAATAGTGAGGTGAAGCTAGAAAGTACATTGGTAATGATCAGTCAAAATATTATTGACTTTTGTAATCTTTTGGTTCAATATTGGAAGTTGATATGGTGAAAAGTGTTGTATCACCAATATACAACAAGATGTTGGGTCCAAGGAGTAATACAACTGACTATACTTAAGTCATGAAGAGTAAAACATTGATATCAGGATGTCCCCCATTACAGAGTACCTTCAGTTTTGGTTCTTCTGAGCAAAAGGTTTACTGATGTATAACCAGAAAAAGTATTTATTTGTATACCAACGGGGCAAAAGATTATTCTCTTATTGACACTGCCCATGCTCCAACTATAGTCGAGAGAGATTTATACAGATCTAAGTGTAAGGATGTAGATCAGGGTTGTTACCTCATTTGCTACAAATAGTATTCATTTAAAACAAAGATATGTAATTGTGAGTGCACAAACCAACAACTCAAGGAAATTTACATAAAGAATAAGAATTCAGATGGAGGCTTTGATTATCACAAAATTCTGACTGTTAACATTACATGAAATCAGTCTATCATAGATCGTTATTCTTTGAGGGTTTTTTTTTAAACATCCAATAACAATTCTATTACTTCATTCAACAAATTATTTAACTATTTTGCACATGCCACAAAACCTCTAGGTTAACTGTTTTTTAGAATTCAGCATGTCTCCTTGAATATATCAACTGCAATTACCAGACCCGGGCTTCTCGACCTCTGGCCTTGCATGTGTCTTTCCAGTTGCAACATCTTGCCTTTAGAGCTCTAGTTTCTTTTCATAGTTCCACTGTTTTCTTTGTCAAAGAACTTCTTCCCAGAGAGGATATATAATCGATCATTTATTTCCTGGAGTTTGTCTCATTTTTAATAAACATCCAATCAACTTTGTTGATTTAATAAAAAAAAATTACAGCAATAACATAACTGCATTATTAACTTCCAGTTTCAAGTCTCACCCTTAAATAAACATATGTGGTTAACCCTATAAGACGCGGCACACACTTTAAATTTATCTCATGTCACAAAATGTTACTGAGTTAAATTTAATTAAACCACTTTACTATCAATGTATTTTAATGAACTAAGAATAACGTTATAATTTAAAGCTTTATATTGTTTTTAATCCTTTATTTCAAAAGAAACATTTAATGCATTAATTAAAACTTCAGTTTTGTTTTCGCACAGTTAAAAATATCTTAATTTTTCTTTCTTCATTTTCAAATTTACTGTGCCATAGTACAGGTTTTGCCCAAACAGTCAAAGTACACACATATACTGCATGTTTACCACTAACTTAGTCAAATTCCAAGAAGTCAGTTCCAAGAATGGCATTGTAAAAGTTCTCTCACACCAGTAGGAGCCACGCCCACATAAAATTAGAAAGGGCTGTTGCTTAGCAACAGATCAGATTTGAATGGCATGTTTATAACCAATAGAAAGAGAATATTTTACAGTATATTTCTCATGTATTATCTATAACCTATCTTGATGTAAACATTGACTACAAAGATGTAAAATTGCTAAGTACATTGTTGGAGATCATTGTCCCTCGCACCTGGCTATTTTTTCTCACCTTATAAATATTAGTTTGTTAGACAGTTAAATTGCATTTAGGTTTTACTTTTATATTGTAGTTAATTATATATTATTTAGGTTTTAATATTCGTATTTGAAAGGTTTAGTGATTTTTCAAACTTATTCTATTCTTAGCCTCTCTCAAGAAGTGTTACCTAACTAAGCGATCACAACAAAATTCGCTGGAGGTTAAACTGTCTCTGCCAAAGATAATGTTATATCACCTGCAGGCACCTGTTGACATAAATAATCAGTGATAAAGAATAGAAAAGGAAAATAAAACATTAAAGATATATCATAAGTGAAAATGTAAAGACGTGAAACTATACATATGACCCAAAGAAGATATTCTAAGGTGATTCAATGAAGAGTTGAAAGGTATGTACATATTTCTATTTCTTAATTTTATACATTTCATTGCACTGTACATTGATGATAATAGCTAGAGTTAGTTATATCACAGAGAAAATGGAACATAAAATATATAAATCTTCTTTAAAAAAATTTTGATATTCATTTACAAGGCTCTAGAGATTATGCAAATCAAATGTGAAAACTGTAAGATAATAAACAGTATTTTCATACTTAACATGAAAATCACCTTTCAGGTGAAATATTCAGAGTCTGATTGCAAATAACTACATTAAATAATGCATTTTTTATTAGAAATAGTAGAAAAAATCAAAATTAAATATTATATTTTTCTGAAACTACATACTTTTAGGAAAGATCTTGCCAAAGTTCATCCACTAGTTTTATTTTTGGAACGAATATAATGATAGTGTTAGGTCACTACAATGTTGGGACCCAGTAGTCATAGGGTTAAGTAATCTGATTCTTTGACTGTTGTTATTCATCACATTAGTATTTACTAACACTATTGGTCATTAATTTGTTCATAAAGTAACTGTTTAAAGATGATAATGCACCTTCACATAACAAACTTGTATTTCTTTCAACATGCAAGAAAAACCCTGGAATTTATAGATTTCTCAAAACATAAAAAATGTACTTTGGATAGCCATGATTTCTACATGATATAAATAAATAGTCTCTTAAAACTAAAATTCTTCCATACACAACTGATTCATTGAGTGACAGGGTTCTTAACCACTGGTACAGTACATTTATTTTTGACACACAACATTGATGATTGGGAATTGTATGATGTTCCTATACTATCAGAGGAACTAATAACTGTCTATAAGCTGGCAATTCCAATCGTCTACATTGTTGTAAAGTCTATGAATTATGTTTCTTAAAAAATTGGCTTTCTCTAAGACTTTCATGTACATTTTTGTGCATTCTTGGTTCAGATCCACACAGATGCTAAAAATGCCTGCATTCAAACATGCTCCCTCATTCCAGGTCCAAGTTATGAAGAATGCAATAGTCTATTTGACCTATCATCAATCTTTGTCACTTAAGCTTCTCTCAGGATAAGGTGATTTGAATAGGTAGGTTTCATCCCATGATGAAAAACTTAACTTAAGAGCAAACTTCTTGATCATGTAACTGTCTATGATGTGTAAACCTTCCACCTTTATGGTAGCATTTGTCTCTGTTGTTACTTTATAATTTCATATAATGGACAGTCACCACACCTATAATATCAATTGACTTACACATCTTATTCTTACTGGCATCACATGCACATATTCTGCATTCACCATCTAGTCTCTTTCTGATTTGTTGTTACTTATTACATTGATTATTTATTTCCTCGCCTTTTTGTGGCTTGTTAATGTTACTTCGTATATATATATATATATTCTTTTTTTTATTGCTCTCAAACTTCTGGACTCTCATTATCATAGCTCACAGCTTTCTTATATAGTTTCCAGAGTTAGTTGATATATCATCAGTCTGTCATTCTCTTATTGTCTCAGTCTAGCTCCTCTTTCCTCCTTACTTTCCTATCTGCCAATTAATCTATATATAATCGAATTTTTTGTAATAAGTTTCAAATTCATACATCTGTTTTATGATCAGTTACCCTCGTCCATTGATATTTAGATTAGAAAATTTTGTTTCATTTCTACTCAATCTCTCTTCCTATTAATTCAAATTATATTTTTCTAAGTCATTTAGTTGAACTACTTTGGTTATCTCAGAATATATAAATATTTTATTATCTTTCTTGGCATTCTTTTTCTGAATTTGGTTAGGCCATTAAGTTTCAACAATGTGAAAACTGCTAAGTTATCACGTGATCAATATAACAGTATGTTTACAAATATTATTATTAGTATCATATTCATCAGTTTCCATTTATCAACTTTCTTCTTCTCAGATTTTGCTTTTAAGTTATCTATATGTTGTTGCAATTACCTGATAGTTAATCCTGACTTCTTCTGCCGGATTGTGTTTCTTCTAATATTGCTTTTAATGCTAAATTAGATTCTAATTCTCTAAACAAAATTATTTCCTAGGTTGTCATTAACTATTGTAAATTTTATATATTTATATTTAACTTTGCTACTGTGTACCTAGTATTACTTCTAAAACTTGGGGTAGGCAGTAGCTAGGGGAATACCCTAGACACTACAGTGTGATTGGCTGCCTCAGGGGAGGGGTAGAGACAATGATGAAATAGTTTCACGAAGTGATGCATTGCTAGGGGTATATTGCTAGGCTACCATAACACTTGACAGGTGAAAATTTTCATGCTGTCATGAAACTTGTTGATGGAAGTTGTATACTACCAGAGAGCATGTTGCTAGGATATTTCACGTGACCTCATAATTCGAGTGTCACTCAACAGAGCTTGTTGCTCGGAGCATCCACGAAGTGATATCAGAGGGAGTGTTATTAGGGGACGGATGATATAGTTTGATACAAGAAGGTCTGTTACTATAGGAGGATGCTATTACTAATGTTTTATAGGCAGTTGGTGTTATTAGGTGGTTTATCTTACTAGGCATATTTAGTATGTTTTACAAAAGTGGACGGTGTTTCTATTGGCAGATAGTGTTACTATACTCCTATAGGACTGCATACAGATTTAAACTTCTCTCAATTTGTGTTTATAGTTTTCATTTATATGTTTAATTGCAAATGTTCTGCAAAGTTGGGTGGTGTTGCTAAGTGGATTGTGTTACTAAGGGCAATGTTTCTATAGATGGATGATATTATCAAGAATAGGGTTTGTCTAGGCAGATGATGTTTCTATTAATGGATAGTTCGATAGAATGATCTCATCATAGGATGTCTCAACATGTGATTACATCATCAACATTTTAGTCTATATTTGAATATATGTCCTAAAAAAGTTAGAAATAAAACCACTATTTTAATGAGACAAATATAGCATTGTGTATGTCAGTTTGTATCACACATACTATCTTATCTTATCCATTATTTCAATGAGACACTTAGTATAACATAGTATATTACATATGGCAGTTTTTATCATACAAAGGCATCACTAGGTATTTTATAGATTCAAGGCTCGAGTCCATAAACGCAGGAATTTTTTGCATTTCAGTATGATATCAATCATGATTTTAATTCTGGTTTTCCAAGACACCAACTGATGACTTAGGGCACTGTAAAATAGAATTTGGGTATAGGCCCCATGTGCCAGCACCTACTGACAACTATGTTATCATATACACTATCGTAATTTATCCATTATTTGAATGATGCAAATATTATTGCCAATAATTTACCTTACATACTTTTACAAGTATAAAACACTTTGCTAATACATTAGTTTTATTGCTTTCACTTCTATATATAACTTGCATAGCATATTTTTACACTTATCCTCCTGAAAAAAGATGGATTTTTCATAACATAATTATTTAAACTTCTAATTAATTTAAATCTCATGTTTAGCTTCATAAGTTAATGTATCTATTTGTTCCACTAAAGTTTAAAGGATCTATGTAAATAACTGTTTAAAAATTACTGTTGTAGAAATATTATTCTTACCCTTCTGTAGAAAATTTTTCACAAATCTTGTTTCTTGATAGATTAGAACATTAGGCCTAATGCTGAATTATTCTGATAATATATAACAGGTCATATATAGTCTGAAATTTGCATCATTCATTACCTACATATGTGTTTATACATAGCACTCCTTTAAATGTATTGTTTTCTCATAATTCATTAAAATTAGTTTGCTTATGTTAGGTATTGATTTTTCAAAGTCTAATTTTATTCTTTTTTAAATACTTAGAATCTTCCAATCCCATGTTATAATAGATAATTGCTCATTGATGATCATATTTTGATGTTTCAGACTCAGAAAATGTAATTTTTCATATCTTTCAAAACAGATATACATTTTGAAACAATGTTGCGGTAACTTGTATAATCCTTTCACTTAAAAAATTATACAAATTGTCATTTCAAAATCAGTATTGTTATATATCAGATTAAATCTAATACACATTGTTTTCAAATATTGCATGACAATAGAACAAGTTGAGGTCATAGACAGCCATATAGCTAATGATCCAAGGTCAGTCTTGAGATGACCAAGTCTATTTCACAATATATAGCAAGCAGTCAAATCTGGATCACTCATCCCTATATAAACTGTAGTCATATCAGTCTACAATGCAACTACAGTATCTTATAGTTCTACTAGCAATAATTATGAACAACTCACCTAGTGTAAGTATTATTTATTCTATGTTTTAAATATATTCCTGAACTAAATGAAACAAGTACTATTACAGAGCTCTTTCAGTACTGATAACATGTAATCAAGATACATTACTTATATTTGTGTATTTATGTAGGATATGGTCCCATTATCCATGAGCTATGACAAGCTAAAGAAATTAGAAAGAAATGCATGTCTGCAATTAGGTGGAATTTACTTCCTTCTGTGGCCTCTAACTGTTGAAGAGACTTAGAACTTAGGGGCTCTGAATACTGTAAGTTGTTTTCATATCATTTACAAAATTATATTGATTAATACAATTTTCTACACTTGTACAAGATGATCGCATTTACTTCTTTCCTTTACAGACATGCAGACTTCCTGAAGTGTCAAGCGTACATCTAAGGAAGAAGGGATAAGTTTTCAACGTTTTTGCAAAGGTAAATATTTGCATGTCTGAATACTGTAAGTTTCTTTCATATCTTTTTAAAAATGATATTAATTAATACGTTTTTCTACACTTATACAAATACTTATTATTTTTCTGTCTTTTGCAGATTTTTGTTGAACATTCCCACAAGGAAGACGGTTTGATTTGTTTTTGTTAAGCACAAAGCTTCACAATGGGCTATCTGTGCTCTGCCCACCACGAGTATTGAAACCCTGATTTTAGTGTTATAAATCTGTAGGCATACCATTGAGCCACTGGGGGTTAAGAAGTCAGAAAATTTGTTGTTAAAAACAGGGAATAAGAGAGTTAAAAAGTACAATGCAATTGTCACAACATACAACGTATCATTTCATCCTAAGTCATATGGACAGCCACTTACAAACATTATGAACACACTCAATCAGAATATTCAGAACAAATTGGATGAGACAATAAGTTATTTAAACAACAGAGATAAAGTTAGGGTTTGTGTTTATTGTAATTATATGGATAAACCAATGAGTATTTGTTAACAAAATAAGGAACTTGTATTGAACCAAAATGACCTTAACCAGCATTAAAAAGTCAAACAGAGTAAAAAGGACATAGTATTAAATGAATTATTTAAATTTGAGTTCACTACATTGGAATTGCCTGTTAGTAACAGTGAATACAAGTTATAGAACATTAGTCTTGATGGACTTAAAAAAAACAGTTATTTATATAACGAATAATGATCTAAACATTCAAATTCACATATTCTTTTCAGACAATTTTGATATATGATATATATATAGGTCATTCATGTCATGAAAAGATATTCCTATGGTGTCATGATAATCACTTTGATGTTATTACTTCAATGAAGGGTTTCCTCAGGATAGGTTATTATTGTTCACATTATGATACTTTAAATAAACGTCATTGTTTCGGTTATTGTAATGTTTGTTACAGTAATGAAAGTTCGAAAGGTCAACCCATAGTTTGTGCTGATTGTAACATCTTTTGTAAATTGACCAACTGTTACAGCAGACATAAAACAAGAATAAAAAACAAACAGTATCTTAATGTGATAATTTTTATTGATGTAAAAAATGTTTTGTTGTTATTGACAGAAAAAAAAACATAACGAGATTTTCATCAATGTAGTAAAATAAAATGCATAAGAGGTAAATCATTTGTTTTCTCCAGAATAATGACATCAAAGATTCATCTAATAAAGATTTATTTTTAATTTTGAGACTGGCAAGGAAACCAGAATGCATGGGGTGAATTACTGTGTGGTCCATGATTTTAATGGTAAGGAAACTGTTTTTAAAGGTCAGAATTTGTCTGACAAATTTGTAAATTCTTATTTTCGAAAAAGCATTAGAATTAAACTGTTATAGCTCATTGCATGAAAGGTCTTGATGGGAATTTTATTCTGAATTATTTTATTTGTCAAGAGATAATGCTTGACCTTATCATAAATGGAGGAAAAATATCGTTAAAACTGTTAAAAGTCTGAAAATTAGAATCAATGACAGTTATAATTTCATACTTGTGGCTTTATCATTATTTCTTAAAACTTCTAGTCTAGAAAGCCTGCAGAAAGAATATTTTCTGCACCTTTTCAACTAAAAATCAAAGAGTATCAAGGACCTATACCAGATGCCAGCCTTTACTTACCCGACATCAAGTCAGCACTCATAAGATGAAAATTCCTTGACTGGCACTGTCAGTGACGAGAGGAAGGGTACATCTTTGACTTTCAAAAATAGATGTACAGGTAAGAAAATAATGCTATCATTATTTACATTTATTATATTTACTCTTATACTTTGAAAGTTATTCTCATAAAATTGGGTTGAAAGTTATATTTATTATTCTGTCTTTAGGTATTGCCAATCAGATGTAGACATACTTCGACAGAGCTGTCTTCAATTCAGTGAAAAGTTTTCTCACAACTAGTAACATAGACTGCTTCAGGTACACAACCATTACTTCTATATGCATGTCTGTATACAGAAGTAAATTTATACCACCACAGTTGATAGGTATCATACCTAACCATGAATATTTTACATCCAACAGTTATAGCCAGGTAATTATCCATTTCAAATACAGATATCTGAGGGGGGGGTCAAGATCTCACATGACTTAATGGTGGTGAGAAACAAAATCTTGAATTATAGAGTAAACGGTTTCTGTAAAGAACATATTCTGCAGTCTATGAATTTTATGGATGTTATTACTATAGCTGTAATACATGTTATGATTCTGATACATGGCATGTACTTCTAAATGGACCCATGTGGTTTGCTAGATAGTGTACCTTAGAAAGACAGCAACAAAATCTCCAAGCTCAGGGGTACAAGGTCATATTCATATTGCAACAGGAAATTAAGAAGATAAGGCTAACGATTTTGACTTGATTAATTTCCTTGGGAACAACACAGTAGTTTCCTGCTTGGATATACAAATACCTTCTATGGAGGAAGAGTCGATGCAAAGGATGTAAAGGAAGGAGAAAAGATCAAGTACATAGACTTTTCATCCCTATATTCACAGATGAACAAGTACTGTGATGATCTGATTGGACATCATAACAACAAATTTAACTGATTAAAAAAAATTATTTTGGTTTTATGACATGTAAAATTCTAGCCCCAAGGAAACTCTACCATCCTGTTTTACATTTTAGAAGTAATGGCAAATTAACTTTTCCCAAGATCACTACTACCATGTAACCAATGTGATAATGAGAGAGCTTTCATCAGTGAAAAAAGCAGTTGAGTGTGGCTACCAGATAATGAAAATACACGAGATTTACCACTTTCCCATTAAATTCAGAAATTTAAGAATTATCTTGATACTTTTCTTAAAATAAAGCAGGAAAGTTCTGGATGACCCTCTCACTATTTATCATTGCAGACAAAGCATAATTTCATTGCTCAGTATGCTGAAAATGAATGAGTACAACTGACCTCAGAAGACATAGCTTTTAATACAGGAAAAAGGTCAGTTGCAAAACTTTGTTTTAATTCATTTTGGGGACGTTGAGGTATGTCTGAGGAGAATCACAACTTACATATGTAACATCTGTTAAAGGGTATCATTTTTTAATGAACAATAATGCTAAGTAATAACAGATGTTACTTCAGTTAATGATGTAGTAATTACTCTTCATTGGAAACATAAACATGAGTATCTGCCCTAGAAAGACCAAACCAACATCTTTCTGGTAGCTTTCAACACTGCTCACACTCATAAGAAATTATACCATATGCTTGAGAAGATATTACAAAACAGACAGTATTGTTTACATTATCTTGGTGAATTTATAGACAAGCTCAATGGTCGTCACATTGTGGGTCAGTGATTATCCAAAGAACTATGGATACTTACATGATGATGAGAAGTTTTGTTGTAAATTTAGAGGGTTTACCCTTAATTTTATCAACAGTTAGAAATTTAACTTCTCAACAGTGAAGAGTATAAAATATCAAATATCTTCAATCCTTTTCAGCATCTGATAATGGTAACAAATGCTAAGAAGATATGTAGAAATTTAAAAACTCAGACCATTTATAACAAATAAGAAAAACAAGAATTATTATCTAGTTTACACTAAACAACACATCCTTCCAGACTTCAATGCTCTACCATATGGATGTTGAATTTTTCATCTAATGGAACAAACTTCTCATCATGGTCTATGGACTGAAAAGGAAGAATGTGCAGGGCCTTGGGAGAAGATCCCAAATGTGTTCAAACATGATTTTCAGATCTATATTAGGGAAGTTCTGTTTCATTTATTTCTCATTAAAGTTTGAGATGTATAACCATCTACAACACCCTTTTATGTTTTTAGTGTCAGGTTCAACAGGAAGTGGTAAATCACAGTCTGTAAGCAAAATTTTAACTTCATGATGTTATCAATCCTATTCCTGAAAATATAGTGTGGTTTTATAATGAATTTAAACCTCTATGCACTGAAGTGGTGCAAAGTATTTCTAGAATTTAGTTTGTTGAAGGATTGCTTTAAAAATATCATGATTATGTACAGTCTGATAAACCAAATCATTTCATCATTGATGATTTTATAAGTGAAAATGGAGAAAATAAACGAGTGTCTCAACTTTTTACACATGTAAGATTATTATTTGAATTGATCAGTGTTTTATAGTGTACAAAATCTATTTCATCAGGGTAGAGAAATGTGTAATATTAGTTTGAATTTACAATACATTATATTGTTCAAGAAAGTCAGAGAAAATCCTAGTTGAATATTTTAGCAGGACAAATGTTTCCAGCATGTGTCAAGTACTTCACAGAACCTTATCAAGATGCAATGAGACAACCATATATTATAGTTACTTACTCATCAATTTGAAACGTCAAACGGCTGAGTATTTGCACCTGAGGATAGGTCTATTTCCTGAAGGTAAAGTCATAGTGTATGTATAAAAGTAAGTTTAAACTGATGTTTCATGGAATATATACTCAGTTATTATCATGACTGCAACCATGATAGAGCTAGAAGGATTTTATCTGAAGGGAAGACCATATGTAATTAAAGAACTAGCATTCAAATGTTTAGTCACTGGATATATAGGTGTATTTTTGCTTAAACAACCACTTTCGATAGAATATCTTTCAGATATAAATTGTCATCAGTATATTAGTGACATGGTACATTCATCACACCCCATGAAAAACTGGAAACATTGACTATCTCTACCAGTGGATTGTGGCTAAATTGTGAGAGAGAACTTTACCACTATTTGTCAAAAGGGAGATTGAAAACCAAGATATTGAAAAGTCTGCTGACAATTCCTGGTTATAACCTGGAACTGTTTGGATGCTGCAGAGTTAATCAACTTACAAAATCGACTCTATCCTATCTATTTAATATTAACAATCATTATCATTGTAGTGTAAAAACAAAGTAGATGTTATATTTAAATGGATGTATGAATAGTTTTTAAATGTTGTACTTACAATCTCTTCTCATTTATTCATCATGACAGGGTTAAAGAACATCATGAGTTACTCCAAGCATTACCCAAAGCTACAGATAAACAGATTAAAGGAATAATTGTCGGAGCTAAAAATGATTTTATTATGTGCATTTGTTAATGTACTTTAGACGTTTTACAAGGTAATATTCCCATAACGAACATACAAAAGCAGAAACTTTAAATGATACATGCCATTATCGGGAGAGTTAGCTATCAAGAAAGCATCAGTTAAACAGAAAAAAAAAAACTTACTAATCAGAAAGAAAGGTTTCTACCATTACTTCTAGCACCAATACTTTCATTATTTGGTGGTTTGGCAGGACAAGCTATTGGTAAAACTGTTGGAATTTAAAAAATATGAAACACAAAACGAATGATTCTATTTTCTCACTTTCTTAACCCAAAGATTATGAAAGACCAGTACATAAAGTTTTAAACTGTATAGATAATGATATGAATTTTGTCACACAAAATGATATGTTACCCATAAACAATAAAGCAAAGATGATAAACCATCTGCAATAACATCATCAGACTTTTAATTCGCAGGTCATGGAACACATTATAATTAAAATAGAATCACCAACTCTTGAAAATTCAGAGATCATCGACAGCATTCCTCAGAACTATAAAACTAATGTTGAAATCCTATTAAACTTGATAGATTCCAGTGGGAATCTAACGTAGAATGATCTATGAGAATTAATGATTAGTTGAAGATCCATCCCAAACAGTAACATAATCGACCTAATCAACAATGTTCTATAAAAACAAAATAATTTTAATCCTAATGGATGGAAAAAAATTGTGGAACAATTACCAGATATGAATATTCCCCAAGAAGTTGTTGTAAAAGTATTTGTTTGTTTTTGTATTTCGCGCAAAGCTACACGAGGGCTATCTGCACTAGCCATCCCTACTTTAGCAGTGTAAGACTAGAGGGAAGGCAGCTAGTCATCACCACCAACTCTTGGACTACTCATTTACCAACTAATAGTGGGCTTGACCGTCACATTATAACGCCCCCACGGCTGAAAGGGCAAGCATGTTTTGTGGGACGGGGATTCGAACTCAGATTGCAAGTCGAGCACCCTAACCACCTGGCCATGCCGAGCCTTGGAAAAGTAGACAGATGTATATGAAACATGATTCATGATTAAAAAGACCTAAACATAGTGTATCTAAATCAATTCCTTTTCAATATAATAGTATTCTATTATTCATTCATTTATCTCTTGACTGTCATCATGGGCCGTTGTTAGCCTATTATGTACAGTAATATTTTAAGCAATCTAAGAATTAATATTGCCTGTTGTAAAGATCAAATTATTACTACTGTTAGAGACAAAGTTGATGACAAATTAAATAAAAGTACATGGTATAATCATAGAAATAATGTACAATAAAACACTACAATCTATCTATTTATTATTACCCTACACATCCTGCCAGTTATGGTGGAGTACAGCCATTATTTACATCACTGAAAGCGTTGGGTGAATATTTCCCTATAAAACAGGTTAGAGACTGGTTTAAATCATCAGGATACATACACTTCACACAAACCAATAAGATATAAATTTTCAAGAAACAAAGTGACCGTTTCTGGATTTGTTTGTATGTAATTAAGCACAATGGGCTATCTGTGCTCTGCCCACTGCGGGTATCAAAACCCGGATTCTAGAGTTGTAAGTCCGTAGACATACCGCTGTGCCATTGGGAGGCTCGTTTCTGGAATCAATGGACAATAGCAGGTTAACTTGGTGGATCTTTCAAACGTAAGTCAACATAGCAATCATTTTAAGTGTTTACTCATGTGTATCAATGTGTTTTCTAAATATTCATGCGTTGTTCTGTTCAAGGATAAGAAAGGTGTGACACTTGTAAACGCTTTCAAACAGGGTCAAAAAACATAAATTTCAAACTGATGCTGTGACAGAATTTAATAATAATTAGTTTTAATGCTATCTCAAGGAACAAAACGTTCCCTTCTTCACTACACATAATGAAACAAAAGCATCTTAGCATAAAGATTTAATCGCACAATTAAAACTAGAATGTAGCAATATTTTACTCATCGTCTAACTTACAAATATATAACTGAACTGAATAATCTGGTCGGTGCCTATAACCAATCGTATCATCACCATATTAAGATAATACCAATAAACATTAATCAGTTTGTGGTATGTAAACCACCAACGAAAGTAAAATTTTGATTAAAAGTAGGCAATCAAGGTAAATATATTAGCAAAGTGAAGCATCAAGTTAAGAAAACTTGTATGCATGGATGGACAGATGAAACCTTTATAATTTACAAGAGAAATCCGCCAGTGTATAAACTGTAAGACTATCTCGGATAAAGTTTAATTAAATGGAATATTTTATGAATCTGAACTGCAACATGTTATCAAGTTCTCCATAGATGTCTATTCTGTGGAAAAAAATATTACAAGAACGAGGAAAGAGTAAAAACAAACAGTATTCCATAAAATGGGAAGATATATGTATTTGATAGTAAGATTCCTCAAATAGATATCAATTGCCTGCATGGATCAGTTGCATGTGATATTTCCTAAGTAAGAATTCTATAAACGATTTTTCCAGCAATACTCTGACAAACTATGTCACTCATCTTCCGAGACCTATCAACCTTGAAAGTTTGTGGTATGTGGCCATGGCTGAATCAACAGTATCCACATAGCTGACATAACGTGAATGATAGTACGGGATGGTTATCCTACTTTTCTGGCCATCGTGCTGCTTCTGTAATAAATTATATTAGATCTGGTCATTATAAAGAACTTGGAGATTTAATTATAATCTCAAAATAAGTAGAAGAATTGCTTCCTAAACCCAACAAATAACTTATATTTACTTGTGGTTCGTTCACCTGAAAAGTAAGTGGTAAATGATGGAGCCTCGATCTTTTATTATCAGTAGTACTTGTATTTGATGTTAATCGTAGGATAACAGAGCGTACTATAGCTCCATACAATGTTAACAATCACAGTGGATTTTATTTCCTCTATGTTTACTCAGATATTGTAGAACATAGTATTGTTGATGATGCATATATACTTCTGATACAAATCATTCAAATTAAAGGTCAGGAAGGAGACATGATCATTGAAACATTTACAAATCTTTATTACAAACCCATTTCTAAAAAGAGTTTTCAAACTATTAAGAACGATATAAAGGATGGCATACATTAGCCTATCTCATTTGAACAAGGGAAGTCATCATAACACTTCGTCACCTCTGACAACATGAGATTTCCATGCTATCACGAACCATCTGACTATGACGCCTATTACGATTACCAAGTGGGAAATGATTTACCTTATTACACTGGTAGTCAATGGCAACAAAGTCGTGGATTGAGAGATGTATTGAATAATGCGTTTCATTCAGCTAAACCATTTCTTTAAAAAGTTGTGTTAGTCTTTGGAAAACAAGCTCTTCAGTCAGGTATAAACTTAGCATCATATGTCATACAATGAAAATCATTTGTTCGTGCTGGGAAACGATGAACAATACAAGGAGCTCAGAACCTGGATCGAGATGTTAAATATATTGTTCTACTTAATAAAAAGAACAAACAGAAAAGTCCCGTGATCTGAATCGCTAAAACCAAAAGATGAAGAATATTGACTCCAGACTTTTTCGACAAGTAATCATGGCTTTCCACTCTCATGAAAAGTCCTGTAAGTGTACAAAGTCTGAGCTAGACCTATTTTCTCTCCCTTCTACGCAAATCGTTATTAAGGATGGTTACTGGACCAGATAGTATCCTCTATCTTCAGTAATCGACAGAAAGTCTATCCAATTTCCTATATCGGAATCAGGGGATGAATATTTAGATCTGGCACAATCATATCTTCATGTAAAGGTAAAGATTGTCAAACTGAATGGGAGTGGCATAAAAGAGGATTAAAACAACTTCTCCAGTTTGTCTGTTTCTTCATTCTCTATGTTCTCAAGTGGATGTATACCTCAATGGCAAGCTCATTGCTTCATCTCACAACCTTTACGTGTATAAGGCCTACACAGAAAATTTCCCGAGTTGTAATGGAGAAACTAAGACAAGTTATTTGACATTGTTTGTGTGGATAAAGGACACTGTAGGT